CCCCAAAACCCCAAAACCCCGTATGCCAGTTTGATTAGGCATAATGAAAGTGATTAGTGATTCTAATTTATATTATAAACTAATCCTTATTTTAATGAGAGCTATTCAAAGATATTTATCCTCTTCGAATCTAAACAAAAAGGCTGTCGTCAATCATCAAATTGCCCAATATGGTAGACGAGCTTTTACAGGAGCTCAGCATGAGACTAAACAGCAATTAAATATTATTTAAAGAATGCCTAGCTATCAGGAAGCCTTGAGATTTGCTTCAGAGACAAAATATGAAGAATCTTAAAAGAAACTTTAAGAAACCATTGATGAAATTGAAGGAACTTTGGGTGATAAAAATACTCTCTATCACCTATACATTTACCAAAGATTAGCCTCAATCCAAACGATTCTTAAAGAGCCTTATGCCGTTGAAAATACCTTTAAATAATGCATTGAAACAGCAAATAAAATCTTTCCAAAGAACAAAGAAGATGCTTCTAAGAGATTTATGTGGAAGAATAACCTCTTCAAATTTTACATTGATTTCGATATTGATAAAGCCTGTGACTATGGATAAGAATTACTTCACGATTATAACTAGATTTTACCGAATCACGAGGTTGTGGATCTTAAATTCTCTCTAGGAGTAAGTCAATTTTATTTTCAAAATGTCACCTATTTAGACTAGTTATTGCTTACAAGGAACTGATCTCAAATAAGCATAAGAACTCCTAGAGGAATCATTGGCCATCTCTGGACCAGAAATGACTGGTTATATTCATAATAATCTTGGAATCAATCATTTCTACCAATTTGTTGAGAAATCATCAAGTATATAGAATGCCTAGGAAATTAATGCAAATCCCCAAGGTATTGATAAAATAGCAAGTGAAAAGATCGAGTAGATAACAATAATGATCAAGCATCTAGATACCTCAATTAGTGAACTCAAGAACAGTGTGAGAGCTTTGGAGAATATTGATGTCAGATTCAAGGATTTATAAGGAATTCATGAAGATACTATGGCATACAAAGAAGCTCATCAGCCTGAATTGAAAAAAGCATCCCTTGAATAAATCGCTCAAAAGCTTTTTATTGATGAATTTTTCGATCCGAACCTCACTAAAGAGATTCTCCCTAAAGGCTTTAAGCATTATAAATTACAACAACATCAAGTTAATGAGAAGTTTTTGAAAGAACTAATCAAGAGAGCAGATTCGATCCTTCCAATTCAAAATCTAGGTGAAATCGCTTATATACTTCAGAAGTATCAAGAGGCTTTTGCCTTATTAGATATAGCTTTGAAGTTATATAGAATGATTGATATGGAGAATCTGATGAAATACAAGACACTAAGTCTTTTGGGTGCATTATTAGATTCTTAATAGGATTAGGACTCTATGATGAATATCAATAAATTGATTTTTAAATCACTAGACAAGCATGATTGCTACGAGAAAGTATTTGCACTCAGAAACTATGGGTACATTTTGGCAAGAAATGAGCAGACTAGATTGGAGGGAAATGATTACATTGATTAGGCTGAAAAATTAGCTGTGAACTATCCCTACTGGGCTGAAAGAAAAATGAATTTGTTTGTACCTGTCATGGCTGCTATTGATAGCGACAAAATTATTCCCGGATAGTGATAGCTTTAATTAAGATAAGCAGATTTTATCAACAAGTTGCTAACTATTGACTCTATTCTTGATGAAACCTATTGTAGTGATTAGCGGAGGTATATTTTTAGCAACTTAATAATTAAGTATTTTTCCTATTTTATCACCTCAAACGAATAAAAATGATAAATAAAATTAATCTGGTATCATGGGGTTTTGGGGTTTTGGGGTTTTGGGG